TGAACGACTTGGTAACTGCTCAGAACTAAATGTTGTTAGCATCTGAGTCAAAAGTAAAGTTAGTTATACGTTGGCATTTTTTGAAACATCATATTTCAAATTTATATTCGTATAATCGTATAAAACGGCTTCACGGCGTTTGACAGGGTCATAAAACAAATGTATTAAATGTACGAGGTTTGATTAAAAAGTATTTGTACTGCTGGTATAGTAACGAAGCTAAACTACACAGAGAGAAGACACTTGGCACAGATCAACGTTGGACTCTGTCGAGCATACACACTAGCTTATAACGTCCTCGCTCACTTCCGGTGCTTATAGCAGTGCTTCGAAAGGGAAGTGTGTAGAGTGTGCTCGTCTCATAACACTACAGAAGCTCCATCAGTGATCATGTCTTGTGCAGCAGTTTTTGGCCAAGCACAACATTTCCCAGGTCCGAGAAACTATAATATTTCACAGATCTCGGTTTTTTTATTTTTTCTTGTATCAAAAATCAAATCCTAAATGAAAGGAACAAGATTTCAAGACGTCAATGGAAATCCAAGGGAATGGCACGAGACAGCTGCTCGCTACCTTCAAAATAGGAGTTCCAGGAATGCTTCCAACAATAGAAACGACGCTGGATAAGGAGTGTGGCTTCAGAAGGGGACTGCTTCGAAGGAGATTAAATGCAGAATTGATATGGGTTGTAGTTTTCTTTTTATAGAACTAGTAGTGAAGGATATTAAATACGGGTTGTTTCTCTTACAATAAGTAGTTTGAATCTCTCTTTGGAGTTAGTGCTATAAACAACCATTAGTATAGGACAGACATTAGTAGAACATACCTAAATACTCTTCTTTTTCTTTTATGAGTCATGTCCTTTCGAGGCTTGGGCGATCATGGCCCTTCACAACTTTCTATCCTTTGTAATATCTGTCTTTTGCCACACTTTTAGTCTGGACAGGAATGGCTTTAGAAAATTCTGATGTTTGGTCATTTTGTCAGCTCTTGGGAAATCAGATAGATTGATATATATATAAAATGTTGTAAGATTTTGGGGTCTGATGAGATAGGCGCCTGATCCCGTGAAATAAATTATTACCAATTTATATATTATATATTTATATTTACGGTGGAGTAATGGATAGCGGCTTGGATTGAGGAATCGGAGAGCCGAGTTCGAATTCCAGTCGAATCCATTACATTGACTTACGTGTTAATACCCTTGGGAAAGGTATGAATCATCTTCTTCTCCATCCAGCTATGGGCAAATAGCAGAACAGACCGGGTTCTACAGCCTAAGAGAAGGACAAGAAGGAAAACTATGAATTCGAGAACCTGTGGAGGGTCGTTTGGCGACCATGTGGCACGTAGTGCACCAAGTCTCTGTATTTGGCCATTCAAAAAGTGTGGATGGTTCTGCACAAAACCTTCACCACTATAATCAAATCTCATGTGCTGGTGTCAGGCTGTCAGTTTCATAGGAACTGATCTGCTTGACCCTCATACGTCGAATTCGACAGGAGAGTCAAGAGTGTATATATATATATATATATATATATATATATATAGGAATAAAAAGAGACAAGAGGAAAAACTATACTTAACCGACGCGTTTTTATACTCTGAGGCCCTTTATCAAGGCAATGTAGGATTTATTTTGATGCACGTGTTTTATATACAAAAGCGAGGATATCACTGGTTTATCAAGGCTTTTAAATTTAAGAAGGTTCATGAATATTCATCAAGTGGTTGAAAAGCTCAGTCAAAACATGTGGAAGACACAAAGTGACATAATTCAAAGTTTGGCAAAAAGTAAGCGAGTAATTTTTTCTTTGAATAAATACTACACTGCCTTGAATAGTCCTTGAAAGGATAAAACGCATCGGCTAAGAATATTTATTCGTCCTAACTTTGATCATATATCTATCTATCTATCTATCTATCTATCTATCTATCTATCTATCTATCTATCAGATCGTTTATATCTATCTATCTATCTATCTATCTATCTATCTATCTATCTATAAGATCGTTTATTATATCTATCTATCTATCTATCTATCTCTATATATATATACGCTCTATCTATCGTTATATATATAAGATCGTTTATTATATCTATCTATCTATCTATCTATCTATCTATCTATCTATTGCTATATATATATATACGATCTATCTATCGTTATATATATATAAGATCGTTTATTATATCTATGTTTCTATCTATCTATTGCTATATACATACGATCTATCTATCGTTATATATATAAGATCGTTTATTATATCTATCTATCTATCTATCTATCTATCTATCTATCTATCTATCTATCGCTATATATATACGATCTGTCTATCGTTATATATATAAGATCGTTTATTCTATCTATCTATCTATCTATCTATCTATCTATCTATCTATCTATCTATCTATCTATCTATCTATCTATAGGATCGTTTGTTCTATCTATCTATCTATCTATCTATCTATCAGATCGTTTGTTATATCTATCTATCTATCGTTATATATATATAAGGTCGTTTTATTATATCTATCTATCTATCTATCTATCTATCTATCTATCTATCTATCTATCAGATCGTTTGTTATATCTATCTATCTATCGTTATATATATAAGGTCGTTTATTATATCTATCTATCTATCTATCTATCTATCTATCTATCTATCTATCTATCTATCTCATTCCGTTAATATCTATCTATCTATCTATCTATCTATCTATCTATCTATCTATCTATCTATCTATATACAATAAGCTAAGACATTGTCTATAAGAAACCAGATAGCATGTATACAGAGACAGAAACAACATTGGTCAAAGGACAAATAAATTTAGAGTTATTTTTTTTATTTTAGCTCATGCAATAAAAGGTCCAAGAGTCACTCAAGGTAGAAGATTACGAAGTGAGATTGTTTTAAATGTGGTCGAAGGAGGGAGTAAGAAATGCAAATTATGAAGATATATAGGATAGATATCGGTTAGCCGTAGACTTAGGTTAATATTGTAGCGTTTGGCGAAGCAACCCCTCGGGAGTCTTTTCTTCAATGTATCAGTTTAATGGAAGACTCTGTCTGAAGGGAACTTATTATTTACCAAAGTAATACAAAGGCAATGGGGATGATTTGGCGCCATATACACGGCATGACAGTCACAGCAACGAAGGCCAGAACTGGGGGGGGAAGGTAATAAATATCATTCATTTGAACATTTGCTAGAGTAATTGTGATACAGTAGTGAGAGGCGAGCCACGTTTCGCCTGTGGGATATTTGTATGTATCATGTAGACGTGTGTATTCTGTGTGTATGTACGTATATGGCTGATAAAAGAAAATATGCACGGTGGTCCGAAAGTCTTGTCACTTCTATACAATATAATTTTCTATTACAAGGCAGTAATGCCACTACTATGCAGGGAGTTACGTAATATAATTTTCTATTTCAGATGGCTGACACGAGGTACTCCAGTGTGGAAGTGAGGTCGTTTCGATGTGTGACAGCATCAATGAAAGTGAATAAACTTAATCCAGTACATGTGCTTTGTATTACTGTATTACTTGTTCTTTTGTTGTTCTCATTATGTTTTAGTAATTGAGTGACAAGTCATTCGGACCACTCTCTAGATTGGCAGTTAGGTCTCATAATTTGTTTGATATATATATGAACAGACTGTGATAGATACATTGAATTGCCATATCTGATCTGCTGCTTCTACTATATGGATCTCGAGATTCTTGATAAAATAAAGCATTGCAATGTTATTGGTCCTAACCTGGCCTCTGCCTTTACTATAAATATTTTCATGGTAATTGTTCTAATGAGCTTTTTTTTTAGAATTTTTGTTTTATTCCCCCCCGCCCCAGGCAATGAATTGAAAATATGGGGACTAGTTAGTATTTTCATAGAGAATTTTAGGTATTATGGTGGTTGTAGTAAGAAAGGTACGTATGAATGTGTTGTTTTGGTGTAAGGAATATTGTTCATACGAATGGGTCAGTGTTTGCGGCTAGCTAAGTTATCGTTAAGACAGAAGAAGACTGTCCTTTCCCCAACCCCCCCTTTGGCCAAGTGCCACATTAAACAGAATAAATATCGCTTTCCTCGTTGGTATATCGATTTCACGAATTTAAAAGCAGTACTAGATTGGTAGTTAGGTCTCATTATTTCATTCTTAAAATTACTACTTGTAACCATAAGTTCTATGCTAATAGTTTCTTCTCCTGAATTTCTCGCTTATGGAACTCTCTTCCGGCATCCGACTTTTCTGTCAACTTCAAAAGTTTAAATGCAATGTCAATTATCATCTTTTGTCTCCACAGATCCTGTTCTTTTATTGTCCTCTATTTCACTTTCATTTAACTCTTCAGCAAGTCAATAAAAATGGATTTTATTGCATTGGTATGAAAGATCAACAAAAAAAAACAAAAAAACACACACACACACAAAAAATGCAGTCTTACTCAATTCTTCACTAAATTTAGTGAAAACAAGGCAGTAATGCCACTATTATGCAGGGAGTTACATAATATAATTTTCTATTTCAGATGGCTGACACGAGGTACCCCAGTGTGGAAGAGAGGCCGTTTCGATATGTGACAGCGTCAATGAAAGTGAATAAACTGAATCTAGTACAAGTGCTTTGTATTACTGTATTACTGTATTACTTGTTCTTCTGCTGTTCTCATAAATTTTTTTGGTACGGGGTGACAAGACTTATGGACCACCCTGTACATTGATTGATATGGCGGGGAACAAGGAGATGGAAATATTTTTAAAATGCTCAATTATTTCTACAGCTTATGGTAGAACGACATCGGTTGGACTTTCACCCCCTCGCCCCAGAATTGAATAGGCTTTGTCAAAAAAAAAAAAACAAGAAAGAATCTTCCGCTTTCAAAACAGGAGTTGGCGAAAATGTTTGTTCAAGTTGAACTCCGTGAAATGTGTTCGGAATGCTAATCCTCGAAGCTTACGAATAAGACGAGTCGATTGTTTACGACCGAGAGTTACGTCTGAAAAGAATATGAGGAAAAGTCAAATAGGTATTAAGAGGGAAAGAAGATAAAAGAGAGAGGGATAGAGAGAGAGAGAGGAGGGAGGAGAGAAGAAAGGAAAAGTAGTCAAATTGCGACACATGAAGAAGACGAGAAAAAGAGCGCAAATCGCTGTACAAATGGAAAGAAAACATACAGCATAAACAGACGACTATGTCGAAGGTTTAAGACCAACTTTTACAATGGAAATGTTTAGAATAGTTTCAGAAAGGTCACAAAGAGAAAGACAGCGAAATCGGACTCGTGTATGAGTCGAATATTTAAAACCAGATTTGAAGGATGGATATTTGGAAGGGTTATTAACAAGATCACAGAAAGGAGGAGATTTAAGAGGGTAACAGGGATGAACTCGTGTATAAGTCGAATATTTAAAAGCAGATTTGAAAGACAGAGATTAGGAAAATGTTATTAAAAGGCGTATTGGCATAGTGAAAGATAGCTTCCGAAAGCTAAGTAAGAGAAAAAAGAATTTCGTTAGAAAAAGAAAAAGAGTCATGAACTGTTATGTAATATCAATCCTTTTATGAATGGCTTCACAGATGAAGAAGAGACTCTTTTATATGTTTGAGTTATATTACAAATTACTCCTCTTTTTCTGGTTATAAATATCAGTTTCTTTGTCGTTCCTGTCTTACTCGAAACCTCCTCATTGTTTGTAAGTTCAGTGCAAGATATTCTTCACGTTTCGGCCGTTGTACGCCTCGGCCTTCTTCAGGTGACTGGAATTTCGAACCGAACTCTTTATTTCGTCCACCGGGGTAGATTGTTCTAGTTCCACGTGCCCAGCCTCTTCCGGATGTCTCAGTTCCCTTTTAACCCTATTCTCCAAGTTTTGGTTCACCATTGCCGGGGCCTGGTATTGAACTCGCAACTGTTTGGGTCTAGTCACTGGATCTAACCAACGTCTTTATCCACTGGACCACGGAACGAGAACAATCTACCTCGGTGGACGAAATAAAGGGTTCAGTTCGAAATTCCAATCAACTGAAGAAGGAAGTAGCATATAACGGTCGAAACGTTGTGAATATGGCAATGAAGATGAGGATAACAGTCCGAATATGTAAATAATGTATATAATACACATTATAAAACGAACAAAGTCTGACAATTATTTTAAGACATTTTTATGTTTATACATTCTTTTTATAAATACAAATATTTAAGTAAATGCTCTG